GTTGTGCTGCAGCTCGGAGGTGGCGACTCGTCTGGCGGCCGCCAAAACGGTGCTGGACCGCTCAGGCATTTGGAAAGCCGTGGGCGATTACGGTGCTTCTCGACTGACAAAGCGCCGCTTGATTTAGGTCGATGCTTGGGCGTCGCTAGCTCCAGCACACGAGCGCTCGCGGCGCTAACGTCATTGGGCTCCTTGCGCGGTCGACTGCTGCGGTGACGCCGAGCATCATCCAGCTTTTGGTACATGGTGCAGCAGTCGGCGCAGACTTGTACGCTGTTGTAGAGATCCTCCATGGGCAGCGTGGTCTCCAGCGCGGGTCCTAGGACCACGTGAAAAAGCGATCCAACATTGTCGTCATACCGTGCTTGGAGAACCACTGGAGCTGCTCCAGTACCGTGTTGCGTCGCGTGAGGAGCTTCTCAATGGATTCAATCTTCTCGATCGAGGTATATGACTGGGCGAGGGCCGTCACGAGCGCTTGGTTGGTTGCGCTGGACTGGAACATGGTCGTTGTGCCTTGGGCGCGCAAGAGCAGATGCGACTCGTGGTCGGCCCACACAATGGACTACCCAAGTCCAATCTATCCACGATCGTTTCTAGTTGTGCGTACTAGTACCTTTTTGGCCACGGCATACGATGTTGTCTCGTCGTCGACTTTTGCAATAGTGTCCGGCGGATGGTCCATACAAAAAGCGCCAGGACACGAGAAGGGCCGTCGAGGCTAGGGCATCAACGACCAATATGTTGGACTCTGTACCAGGGTCACGCGTACCAAGGCGGCAGACTTGGATGCGACCGCCGGCGTCGGTCGTTGGAGTGGGTTGCAAACGTCCGACGCGTAGACAATCTAACAGGTACACTACGGTGTATCGAAGACCGTTATGGCGAGTCGGCGCACCTCGGCAACACGCACGAGGACGAGGTCGTCGTTGGCCGTCAGGACAAAATCGGTTTGGATGTGGACGACTTCGTGCGCCGACGACGCCTACGTCATCGTGGATCACTGTTCAACATTGCAGTACGTCGTGCGGCACAATGCGACCTCGATTGCATGCACGATGCGCATGGTAAGCTCTTGGACCAATGGGTTGCATGGCGACGAAAGCTCCTTGACACAGTGCAGCATGTGATGTTCGAGCGGGAATTGAAGCCCCTTCTCGTCCGGTGTCCTACACATCCATCCATGTGACCATTTTTCTTGCAATTCCAAGCTTCGTGTCGTACAGCTCGGTACCAAAAAAGAACTGCGGCGGGCGGTAAAAGCGGACATGGGTCTGGAGACCCGCCGCCGCGCGGCTATAGCGGCACGCGTGCGTCGCGCTCGCTGGCCCAAACTAGTCATTCCTCATCCTCTACAATCGAGTCATGCCGACATGGGCCCACCTTGCCAGCGACGTGGCGCGTCACAAAGCGCGTCAGCATCCACTCGCGCGCGTTTGGGTTGCACAAAATCGCGTTAAACTCCAAGTCGTGCAGGACGCGGAAGGCCGTCTCGCCATGTTCGCGCACCTGCAACGTAGTTCGAGTCGAGTGGCAGAGTGAGACCACGACGTACTTGATGCAGAAAGGCGAGCTTCCGGCTCACGTTGGACTCGAGGCGGAGACACGACTTGACAAACGCGCGCTTGATCGGGATGCGGTGGAGGTCGGCGGCGCTTTTAGCGGTGACACCCTACGGCTCTCTGATCACCTATCACGACGCGTCGTGTGCATGCACTACGTGGTCTCTGGAGCTTGTAAACCAGCGCACGACCTCGCCGTTCTCGACAACGAGTGTGTCGGCGAGGTCCAGCGCCGCGCTACTCGCATGGGATTAGCCTCCTCGAGCCAAGGACGTGGTTCTACCGAGCGGTACAAAGGTGCTCAAGCGTCCTAGACGACCTCCATGACCTTTCAAGAACGAGACGCAGCGTTCTACTCGACAAAGCGGCGCCGTTGCAGGTCGTGGTCCTTGGAGATGCGCTGCACGATGCGAGCTTGCGAATCGTGCATACTGGGAAGTGGACACGTCAACAGACCGTTCGAGTCGGATATCGAAACCGGCTCGTCGTGTAAATTTGGCTCTGCGTGCGAGAGCGGTGGCATCGCCCAATGCCGACGCCTCAACGTCCCGCCAGCTACTACGCAGGTACTAGTACGGCAAGTGGGCAGAAGTAGTACACGTATCTCTCTCTATCTATTCTTTATACAAGTCTCTCTTTATAAGCAGAGCGTACGGCGCTTCTTGGACGAGACCTTTTTGTTCTTGGCCTTGGCCTTGCGCGGCTGCGGCTGCGGCACCTTGGGCTTCTTGGCCTTGGCCTGCACGTCGCGGATGGGCGCGACCTTGACGTCCCGCATGAGCTGGATGAGCTCCTTCGGAACGTCCATGTCGGCGGCCTTGAGCATCGCAGGCACTTTGCGCGCAAAGGTAATGTCATACGCGGTGAGTAGCGTCACGGCTACACCGCGCTCGCCCGCGCGCCCCGTGCGGCCGACACGGTGCACGAACGTCTCGATGCTTTCGGGCACGTCATAGTTGACGACGAGGCCGACGTCCTTGACGTCCAAACCGCGCGCCGCGACGTCCGTAGCAAAGAGCGTCATGACCGTGCCCTTCTTAAACGCGTTCATGGTCATCGTGCGCTCGCTCTGGAGCTTGTCGCCGTGCACGCACCCAACGGTTGGGTCGGCGTACACGGTCGCGAGCTTGTCGCATTCGACTTTTGTGCGGCAAAACACGATCGCCTTCATCGATGCGTCAATGTCCAATGCTTGCTTGAGCTTGGCCATCTTGTCGGCTTCGGAGGTGCAGATGAGAAAGTGCTGCGCAATGTCGCGGTTCAGCTGCGGCGACGACGTGGACCCGATCGTCACGTGCACGGGCAGGCGCATGTAGTTGGCGGCCAGCGTCTGCATCGCGACAGGCCACGTCGCACTGAAGAGCAGCGTCTGGCGTGTCGCCGGGAGGAGCTTCATGAGGTGGCGGATCTGGTCTTCAAACCCAAGCTCGAGCATCTTGTCGGCTTCGTCGAGCACCGCGATTTCGACCTTGTCCAAGCCAAGGTGCCCGCTGCTCACAAAGTCTCGCAGACGACCGGGCGTCGCCACGAGGACGTCGACGCCGTGGAGGTCGAGCGCCTCGACCTGCTCTTTTGTCGACGCGCCACCAAAGATGCACACGATGCGCAGCGGGTACGGCTTGAGGAGCTTCTTGGCCTCGCTTTGGATCTGCATGGCGAGCTCGCGCGTCGGCACGAGGATCACGAGGCGCGGGTCTTTGGGCTTGACGGCGAAGGCGTACTTCTTCTTCGTGCGCTGCACGTGCTTCTTGGGCGCCGTGAGCGCGTGGAACGACGGCAGAAGGTACGCAAGCGTCTTGCCCGACCCGGTCTTTGCAATCGAAATCAAGTCTTGCTTGTCGAGCACGATGGGCCACGACTGCGCTTGCGTTGGCGTCGGCGTGCCAAACCCACTCGACGTCAAATGCGCCACCGCCGCCGCCGAGAACGGAGTCGAATCTAGCGCGCGCATGGCGGCCGGCGCCTTGTACTCGACGCTCGGGCCCACGATCGAGATATGCTGCTGCTGCTGCCAGCGGGCGTTCGCGTCCAGCGGCCCGGCGTTCGACGCGACGACTTCAAAGCCATCATCCTCCTCGTCATCGTCGTCTCCGTCGTCATCCGAGGCGGCAACGTCGCTATCGTCGGCGGCCGGGGCGACCTCGAAGCTGCTGTCGTCGCTCTCGTTGCCGGACACGTCGGCGGCCTTGCGCTTGCCTGCCATCTCACTGCCACCCGAAAAAAGGTTGTTTGATACGCATCCTCGCATTTGATTGGCTATTGCACGCGCACCAATCACCGCACAGATGGCAATCGACCAATCATCGCCAAATCCGTTCTCTAGTGCGCATAAGCGACTCTTTCAGCCAATCACACGACGACCGTGAAGTGTTTTTGGTACCTGAATGGCTTGGAATCTTTGCGATGGGCGACGACAACCTGGCGCCGTCCCTGGCCGACCTCGAGAAGCTCTACCTGCTGGGCAAAGGCAGCTGTGGCCGGTAGCAAGCCCGTGCATTGCACAGCTAGTGACCTGTCACTAGGGTCTACAAGTGCAGAGACAGGCAAACAGCCCAAGAATTTGGTACGACGATCCGCATCCTCGTCCGTGGAAATGAGCCGCGCGGCCATTAGCTGTGAAGGAGATTGAGATCGCCGGTCGCGAAGACCGCTGCAAGCTCGAAGCCGACGCCATGGGTCCGCTCCTTGTGCGTTCAGTGCGCTCGGCTACCACAATGACGCTCGTCATGCGCTACCTGCCCGGCGAGGCACTGTACAAGTGCCTCTGGCGCTGCACGCGCTTTTCGGAAGGCTTTGCCAAAGCATGCGCCGCTCAAATCGCAGCAGCCATCGTCGACCTCCATGGTCGCGGCTACATGCACCGCGATATCAAGAGCGGCAACATCCTCTTGACGCGCGACGGCCACTGCCACCTCGTCGACTTTGGACTCGCCGCCTCGTCCGCCACACGCGCCACCGCCATGTGCGGCACGCACTACACCATGGCGCCCGAGATCCTCGACGGTCACGGCTACGATGCTGCGGTCGATTGGTGGTGTGACTTATCATTCTGTCGCCATTTTTTGCATTTGGAGGATTTTCCTAGGGCGTTTGGGGTCCTCTTGTTTGAGATGGTCCACGGGTCACCGCCATGGCCGTACAAGAGTGACGGAAGCTCGCTACCCGCGTACTTTGCTCGCATGCGTGAGACGGCCGCGCACCTTCCATGGACGAGTGACGTGCCCCTCAGCGCCGAGCTCCAGAGTTTGATCTCGTACGTCCTTTCTCATGTTTGATTGTATTTCGCGCCGTTATTGGTGGGAGCGTGTGCTAGAGGGTTGCTGCAAGTAGATCCTGCCATGCGCTTGGGTCCATCGATTCAATCGCACCCGTGGTTTCGGGACCTATCGGTACGCTCCTTGACCCTAGACCTACCCTACCCCTACTACCGACCCGTCGTAGTCGGATCTCCCGGCGTTAGGCCCGGAGCTCGAGACGGGCTTCCAGCACGTGGACGGCGCGCAGCAAGGTGTCGAAAGCGCCGAGAGCATCACGTCGGCCGAAAATTTGCTCTTTGCTGGCTTTTGAAGCCCAGTAGCAATCAAGGGTCCCGATGACATGAAAACGAGATCTTAGTTGTTCCAGCTCAGATCGACACCGCGCTGGCCGAGGTACTTGCGAATGAGCGTGTACGTGACGAACGGAAAGAGCACGCAAAAGCCAAAGATGCTCCAAAAGTAGTAGTCGTCCTCTTCGATCGACGAGCTGAGGTTCATGCCAAAGCTGCCGACGATGAACGTCGGGATGGCCATGAGAGTCGTGCACAGCGTCAGCGTCAGGTCAACCGTGAGCAAGTAGTTTCGCTTCGTGTCGAGCTTGAGCATGACCATCGACTCGGTCGTCTGGATGTTGCTCAGCAGCAGTGCGATCCGCGACTGCGTACCATATATGTCCTACAATCGCTTTAAAGCACAAACTGAAAGAATAAAACATTCTAGTACCTGGAGGTAGACTTCGAGGAGCGACTCGGCGTCTTCCGCATCAAAGCTCATCACGTCCATCCCAGGCGACGCATGCAATTTGGTCAAATACAGCATGTGCACGTCTTCGTCCGTCTCGAGGAGCTCCATGAGCGCTCGCCGGATGCCATTCACCTAGGTAAAGAATGACGTTCTGCGACTGTCTTTGTAGGATGCAACACAAACCAACCTGCGCCTCGAGCTCGTGGAGCGAGTTCTTGATGTACCGAAGCGCCTCGAGCTCGGTCGTGATCAAGCCGTGCTTGAGCATCTTGTCGACGACTGCGGTCGCTTGGGGCGCGATCTTGGCGGCCGCACTTGATACGAGCCTAGGCATTCAACTCAAAAGCTGCTCAACACAAAGCGATCCTGCGTACTTGCAAATGGTTGCAAGGACCGCTTCAAGCGCGCTAGCACAGAATAAGCCACCCATTCAAACTCAAAAACGTACGCAAACTCAAATGCCATGGCGTCGGCGTTGACGTGCTCTTGAAAGTTCGTTTTGAGCAGCGACACGAGGCTGTCGGCGCCGTCGGGCAGAAAGACGAGGCACGCATCGCGCAGAATGACCACGCGCAGCGGATCTAGTCCATCATCATGTCGACTGCGTTGTAGACTGAAAGTATGGAGAAAATTGTCTTGCGTCGTCGTACCAGCGTTGAGCAAAATGGCCTGGCGACGCATCGTGAACGACGGCTCGACCGCGATCGCAAACGCGTTGTCGAGCTTGCGGATATCGCGCATGTGAATGGCCTAGGCACATGCTCGGCGTCTGTATAAATGTATCAACTGCCATCGGACCGGAATCTCGGTCGCCAGCGATCCTTGGCGCTCAATGCTCTACGACATGTCGTCCATTAGAAGCGCTTGCACGAGATGAAGGATGGTAACGCACGCAGTGGCCACGCGCTGCGTCCTGAACCGTCTTGTAGACGTCTTGGCGGCTCAGCTCGACAAAGCTCGAGTTGCCCGTCGCATCAAAGCGGAGCGCCTACGCAGAACGACAGGATACGACGGCGCGCAAGGACACGTGGAGGACATACGAGGCGCTTGCCGTGGATCGACGTCGCGGCCGAGCTCTCGTACGTGAGGTCGTACGGCCGCGCGAGGAGCGCTTCCGGCGTCAAGTAGACGTCGAGGGACTTGGCCATGTTGGCAACTGGCACTCGACGATTGAAACACTACCATATGGTGCTATACCACGTGCGCCAGGCCCTTTTTTGGAGTCCAGGACGAGACGTGGCGAGCTGGACAGGCAGCATGACCATCGATCGCCTGCCGCCTGCCTAGGATAGCTACACTAGATGCCTCACACAAGCAAGCATCCAGCAGCCAGGATATATTCTATCGTGGAGGCGGATGGCTCTTGACCTCATGGGATGGGCGATGACGTGGTCTCGGGCCACCAAGGGAGTAAATTTGTATTCCCTTGCAGGCCACACAGCCAACGCAAAGCGACTCTCATGCTCGTTTTGGACGTATTGTCTATCAGACTACTTTGTACATTGCACGAGTAATGTACGGTAAACGAGAGACGAAGCAAGTTGATCGACCGTTCCAGCATGGAGCCGCCACCTTGCGCCGCAGCGTAAAAATAGCGCACTCGGAATCCCATGGCGTCGACCGTCGAAGCGCTCAAGACGAAGCTCAGCAGCGTGCTGCCGACGCCGAGCAAGACTCCGGACGTCGCCTTCGAGTCGCTCACCGAGTCTTCCGATGTCGACAGCGTCGAAGCGGCGCCCGCCCCGAGCCCCGAGTCGTCGCTGCTCCAAATCAAGTTTGAGCGCGTGGGGCTCTTGCTCCAGGTCGTTGGCGCGTGCTGCGTCACGCTCGTGGCAGGTTAGCATTCTCTCCAAGGATCTACTCAAAGGAAGAGTGGACTCTTAGGCATGACCAAGCACGGAGCCCCATCGACGCCGGTTGACACGATGGTGTTTTGGCAGTCGTTTCTGAGCATGGGCGTCGGCGTGGTAGCTCCATTGATACGACAATCTTGTCATGTTGAAGCGTAGTACAATATTGTCTAGGCGCTGCAAAACCATTTCCGGCTGCGCCTTCTGGACATTGATGGCATTAGCCGCTCGCACGTCTTTGCCCTTGGCGGCCTCCAGTACCTCGTCTGCGCCGTCTCGAGCTACGCGTACGCGACGTTTGAGCTCACGGACGCGACGATCCTCCTTCTCGCGTCGAGTCTGCTCACGGGCCTCGTGGTGCGTTTTGAAATATTTTCTTGCGTTTTTGACATTCATTTGTGCATTTTTGACATTCATTTGGCCGTTTTTGACATTGCACTTGGACAGGCGACCAAGGTGCTCGTCCAGCACGTGCATGACCGCCGGGACATGGCGTGCAGCGCCGGTGCGCTCGTTGCTCTCGTCTTTGTACAGGCGCCGGACGCTGCGCGTGAGTTTGCGTGGGCGATCGGCGGCGCGTGCGGCCTCGGGCTCTACTACGGCGTGCTCTTCAAGCTCCACGAAGCGCCGATGCTTTCCGTCTACACGCACATGAGCGCCGTGAGCTGCGGCCTCGCGCTGCTCAAATTGCTCTTCTTGAGCTCGGTACGTTCAGGTCGCATCCCCTCGACCTTGCAACGAGCGCTGCGGTAGGACCACATCTTTGAAGGCGACGGCGTGCTGCTAATGCTCATGGGCGTCCTCCGGGCGCTTGGCCAGCTCGCGCTCCTCCGCGGTTACCAATTCGAACGCAACCCGATTGCGGCTGCCATGGTCTTCTTTAAAGTTGCGTGGACCATCCTCCTCGACTCGATCATGGTGGACGTGATCCACATGCACGCGATAATGGGCGGCCTCGTACTCTGCGTCGCAACCGGCATTCTCCTCGGGAAGCGGCCACCCGCGCCGACGCTGCCAGCCGCCCCCGACGCAACGTCCTAAGAAACTGCTCTTCCAATGCAAGTCTGCACATCCTAGTGGCTCTATTACAAAGCTACCATCGCTTGCGACCGCACCCGGCCGGACGGCGAATTATGGGATAGAAACCATCGTGTCAAAGGCTAAGAAGACTTTAAGGTCGATACCAACGCGCGCAGCACGAGTGCACTGCGAGACGCGGTCCAGAGCAGCGCCAACGAACGTGATCATTCTCAGCATGCATTCGATGCCGGGACTCAGGTCCACCAAGTGGGCAACCCGTGTCCACACGGCTCGCCGACACGCTGCTAACGGCAACCGCATGCCGGGATGGCGCTCAAATTCGCATGGCTATCATCGCCATGGGTCGTCGCCGTAAACCATGGCGCGTGTCGCACATGCTTGCGAAAAGCAAAGGGAAAAGCAAGCGTTTCGTCTTTCCAATTGCACGATCGTTGAAACGAGTTGCGACGTACGCTTGAGAATTCGAGTGTGCAAAATGCCGACTTCGGCCGTCGTCGAGCTCGTGCACCCCGAGACCGACGCCGAGCCTCTCTTGCTCGCGACCGACGGTGTGCATCATGACAGCAAGCCCCTGCGCGTCCTTCGGCACCTCGCCAAGCGGCGCCACGCCATCAGCGAGAGCTACGGCAAGTTTTTTGGCTTTGGCATGATCATCGGCGGCAACATTGCGTTGAGCCTCATGTCGGTACGTCCAACGCGTCTTGAAACACTGATACATTCGGGTCGCGTAGGTGCTCATCAAGTTTTCGTCGCGCTTTCTCTACGCGGACGAGATCGTGTTTTGGCGGTCGTCGACTGCGCTCGTCATGAACGTGGTACGTACCTAACGTGCTACCTTTTGTGTTTTCGAGCTCGTTTATACTGGCATCGTAGGCTGTCCAGCTCTACCTCAAGATCCCGCTTTTGGCAGTCGAGCCGCGCTTGATCAAGCTGTTATGCATCCGCGTCGCCATTGGATACACGGCCATGACCATGTCCTTTTATGCCTACTCGAAAATGGTGCTCTCGGAGGCGTCTGTCATCATCTTCACCGCGCCCATCATCACGTGTGTCCTGGTACGTCTCGATTGAAAAGCATCGAGGTTACGAGATCCTGGCATAGAGTGTCTGTCTCCTTGGCGAGAAGATTGACGTCGTCGGCGGTCTCTGCGTCTTGGTGTCGTTTGCCGGTGTCATCTGCGTGGCGCGGCCCGCCTTTGTCTTTGGCGTGCACGCGGCGTCGTCCGAGGCGCCGCCGCTCGCAATGCTCTGCGCGATCCTCACAGCCGTGTGTGTTGGCCTCATCAACATCCTCATCCGCATGCTCCAGAGCATGAACACGTGGACGCTCGTCACGTACTTTCACTCACGTGCACGCTGGGCTCGCTCACGAAAATCGCGCTCTTTGGATCGGTGCGAAGACAACTTGTCTTGTATTGCTGCGGCAATATTGTGAAAACAAACGTGGGTAGGGGTTGTACGTGCCGCAAACCACCGACGAGGCTGGGATTGTGCTCGCGATCGGATTTTTCGGTTGCATTGGCCAGCTCATGATCACAAAGGGCCTCCAGATCGAAAAGGCCGGCATCGCCTCCGTGCTGCAGTACCTCAATCTGCTCTGCGTGATGCTATGGGACGTGACGCTGCTCGGCGAGGCGCTGCATATGTGGAGCATCCTTGGCGCCGCGATCATTTGCCTCAGTGCGTCGGTGATTGCCTATCGCAAGGCGAACGCGTAATTCTACTTTAAAGCACGCTTCCGTGGGCGACGCAACCTACGTACAATTCGCCACGTCTTTCCAATACCGTCGATTGTTATGGGAGAGTGAGAAGCCTTCTTGGCGTGATGCACTGCTTACAAGCTTACGATGAGCCAAACGAAAATAAGATGATTTGTTTAAAATGTAGCGCATGCATTGATTCGTTCTTCTTACAGTGCGTCACGACAGAGCCGTGTCGAAGCGTCGTCGCGACAGTTTGTCGGGATTGAATCGTCGGCTAGATTACCGTCTCGTCTTGGCGCGCACAATCTTTCTGCTGTTGACAGCGACTGCGCTGTCGTCCGAGCTACGAGTGCGTTCTTACGCACGTTTCATCGTACCACGGAAGAGTCTTACTCGGATGCGGTGCACAGTGTGAAGCGAGCTTGGAGCTCTTCGATCGCAGGTTCTTCCTCCGCCGTGCTGGCAGGAGGCATCGCAGCTCTCAACCCGCTAAAGGTAAAGTAGTTTTGTCCCAATGGACGCTCCTGCAATACGTCCATTGTCAATTGGGACATGTGGATTCGTACTTACCTCGTTGGTTTCGTGTCTCTTGGCGCAAACATCGTTCGCACTTGCACTTGGCATGGCAGCGGTGTCGTCCGACGGAGGACCGCGCTAGAAGACAAGTGGTTGCTTGTCAAAGTTCATGATGGCGTTCGGTCAATGTACCTCGGGTGTCGTGGCGGTCGTTGCCGTAGGGTTGGGGTCCATGGCGGCTCCCGCGTTCTGAAGTCGCTGCACAATGGCACTGTGTCCTTGGCGCGACGCAAGAAGCAGTGCGGTGTGGCCATTCTACAGCCAGGCGTCCGACGATAGTACGATTCAATTGCACTAGAGATATGCTGCGTACGCTGTCACAGAGATGGACGTTGGCGCCGGCGGCAAGCAAGCGTTGAACGACGCGATCGTGACCGCTGGCGCTGGCTAGCATCAGCGCCGTCTTGTCGTTCTACAAAGGCTTTAGAGCGGCCTGTTCGACTAGCGTTCGTACGCGATCGATAACATTGACTTTTGCATCGGCGTTGAGGAGCCACTTGGCGGCGGTCTCGTGGCCGTTTATGGCCGCCAGCATCAACGGCGTCCTGCCGTGCTACACATGGCGGAATCAACGATCCGCCTCCTGGGACAGCTCCGTACTCGATCACAGACGTTCACATTTGCTTGTGCATTGAGCAGCCACTGGACGACGACCTCGAGGCCGTGTGCGGACGCGATGGTCAACGCGGCTCGGCCATCCTAGTAACGAGTCAGCGAGCTGCATGGGACATTGTGAGGGGAACCGGATCGGTAAAGTTGACGGCTGCGCCAGCAAGGAGCAGACGCCGAACAACGGCTTCGTGTCCATTCGTGGTCGCCAGTAGCAGCGCCGTCCGGTCTTTCTACGAGAAAATGACTCTCAACGCTGCGATCCAAGAGAGAATGTGTACAGTGTCGGTATGCAGCACGCAAGCATTGCGGCTCAGCAGGATCTTGACGACACTGTCATGGCCGTGTTCGGACGCCAGCAGCAACGCCGTTTTGCCCTCCTATATGCACATCTTGGCTCGACGCGCTTCGTACACTGACGTACTTTATCCGCGTCGTTGACGTGCTGAACTGGATCGATGTGAGACGTTTGTGAATCTGGGCTCTTCTCAAGTAGGACTTGGACCACATTGGCGTGGCCATTGGCTGCTGCAATCATCAGCGCTGTCTTGCCGTTCTAGATCTCATGTCAGCTCAGCGAAACCCAACCGAGCGTGCTTGATCAATGTGAGAGGCGGCTGTATATGTGGTGGGTCGAAGAAGGCGGACGACATCAGCGTGCCCATTCGTTGACGCCATCATCAGCGCCGTCTTGCCCTCCTACATACAGCGAATTCATCTCCGACACTTTATATCGCATACGTTGTCGACGCGGTGGATGTCTGCCGAGCGCAGCAGGAAGAGTTGGATCAAAGCGATGTGCCCGCAGGCTGACGCCAACATCAACGCGGTCCTGCCGCCCTACCAAAGCAACGCATTTAAGCACGTCGTGCGCACTGCAGCACATCGATACGTTATCGGCGACGCTTAGGTCTGCTTTTTGCTCGAGGAGGTACTGGACCACGTTGGTGTGGCCATGCATCGCCGCCAACATCAACGCTGTTCTGCCGTCCTACAGAGATAGAAATTTTGACCAAAATGCCAACAGCAAGGTAGCGAGGTACGTTGTCGACGACGTGAATTTGGTCTGTGTGACACATGTAGCCCAAGTGTTGGACCAGGAGTTGGAGCAAGTTGATGTGGCCGTTCATAGCCGCTAGCATCAACGCCGTCCGGCCATACTAGAGATAGCGTGTCTTGAGAAGCGTAAACCATGCGTGCGGTCACCTACCTCGTTCTTGCCGTTGACCATGGTATGGAATTGCGACCCACGCACGAGCATCGACACCGAGCGCTCGTCGCCATCGCGAGCAGCTTGTAGTAGTGGGTTCTACGCCAAACATTGAGCGCGCCACAATGCAAAGTTCATTTCGCACCGTCGTTGTAGGTGTTGCCATTGGCTAAATGGTTGAAGTAGGAGAGCGCAGAGAGAGACACTGGGCGACAGCCATATAGCAATGAGCACCACCCGATTTTTGGAGCGTTCGCGCAAACGTTGAAAGGCTAAGAATAGAGACACGGGCCCGAAGCTAAACTTTTGGGGCGGTGAAACCGCGTAGGTATGTTGTTGTTTGCAAGAAAATCATTTTGGCAGCGTGGCCTACCGTCACATCCACATGACGATCTTGCGCGACATGGCTGCGATGTCGGAGAAGCGAGTTGACCTTTTATATGCTCCCGACGCCGTCTCATATCATTCGATTCGTACATGACTACCCAACCATCGCTCTGCTCTGCGCATGCAGACAAACAAACTCGAAGAGCAATTGAACGATCTCGTCGCTCGCTACGTATGTCCACAAGATTGCAGTGTCTCAAATCCACAAGATATGTACATATGTAGAGTCCTCCTCGTACAATCTCCCAGCCATATGTTTCAGCCGGCGCGGGAAAGACCAGAGGAATCAATGCAGTATTACGTCTTCCAATTACGTGTGGGTGAGGCTGGTAGTATTGTGTATCGTTCTGTATGCATGCCAAGCAGCTATCACACGAGCGCTCGTGCCGGGTGGGATTTATTTCTTGGGTTGCCGTGCCTTGTGGCGCAGAACATTCTTCTTCTCGAGCGTCGCGCTCTTGTTTGGTGCGCTACGAGGGCGCTCACTATATATAAAAGTCCATCAGGTCGGACTCGGACGTTCCGAACCATGCAAAGCGAGCTTGGAGCTCGGTGATCGCATCTTCTTCCTTCGCGCTGCCGAGCGCTGTAGCCTCGTCGTTCGAAGAGGAACATAGGGTTGATTGCGTTGATGGAGGCTCCTGC